GGATTGGAACTGCGGAGATGACGATCTCTACTTGTCGAAGCACTGAAACTAGTTTTTCATGGTCATCCAGCTCACCCTGTTTTAATTCCCAATGTGTAGACAAAAGAATCGGTATCAACACATATGTTAAATGTTAATTTTGGTCCCTCAACTTAAAGTTTTGCATAATTTTTATTTTTTAACTTTTTTTGGTATTTTTTAATCTCTTATTATGAAAAATGTATTTTTTTTAATCATTTCGTAAATTAATTTGTTAAACTTATCTAAATATACACATTTTTAGTCTTTTAATTTCTAATATATGCATATTTTTCGCTCTTCAACTTAAAGTCAAGTGATTAAAAATGTGTAAATTTAGATAAATTTATTGATTAACTGTTGAAGATTAAAAAAGTGTATTTTTTATAATTAAGGGATAAAAAAGTATAAAAAAAAAGTTGAGAATGAAAATTGTATAAAAATTTAAAGTTGAAGGATTAAAATTAACATTTAACCAAACACATATAACTATCAAAGGCAAACACATTTTATATTATAGGGAAATTATAGAAAATATTTTCCTGGACAAGGGTGACTCCCATGGACTCAAATTCGCTCAGATGTTGGAGCTTGGAAGAGTTGTTGTCGTTTGGTTTGAGAGGGCGAGTGTAAGCGTAGGTGTCATGGCCCATGGAAATGCTTGCATTTACCAGGTATGTTCCCAGGTATCCCGTCGCTCCAGGGCAGAGCCAAGAATTTTAGTCAAGGCGAGCTGTCTTTTCAAGTTTTAGAATAATGTATTGTAATTTTAGAAATTTATTTTTATATCATATATTAAAATAATATTTAACGAGTTTTCATGTCACAAAATATATTTATAATATTATCTACACTAAATGACTAAATTATTTTTTTTAATATAAACAATCAAAGAATTTGAGAGATATTCATCTTCTATTTTACTGCGAAGTCTCGTTTTTATAATTTTTATGGTAAAAAAAATACTTTTTATGTTATTATTATAAAAACTAAAAGAGTAAGTATCAAAGTAATTAATTTGTAAATGAGATTATAAATCTCTGATTTTCTTGTCTTCACAAGCCATCGACATAGTTCAAAAATACGATAACATCCTATCTTTTCACCCTATCACTTTCTACAAGCAAACAAATTTTTTTCTCTTTTTAACAAGCTAATTACACTTTATGTGAGTTTATCTTCCTTTATACTAATTTATGTTCTTATTGCTTTTCTTTACATGACTATATCCAAGGTTTTTCCTTTTATTGAATTCATATATGTTCCCTTTATGGATTTGTACTTTCTTCTTTTTTTTAATTTTTTTACTTCGATCCAATTCTATTTCACATAACTTCCATATAACTTTAATATTACCATAATATTCAATTTTATTTGTAATTTCAACAACTCTGAACCCTAAAAGGAAATTATACAATTTTTTGTGATGATAAAAAATCAATAAGCTTAATTACTTAAATATTACTCCTTCTATACTAAAATAATAAATTTTTTTTGTTTTATCTTCAAATGAAAGATTTGAAAACAATTTTTATCTTTACCTATTTTATACTTAAAAAATAACTAAGAATAAATATCTACTTTCATCAGAAAATAAATAATTAAAGTTAAGAAATAATTATAGGGTTAAAGTAGAAAAAAACTATTTATTTTCCTCAAAATAAAAAAAATTGCTATTATTCTGTAATAAATTCTAAATAAAAAATATCAATTCTTCTGGAATAGAGAGAGTATATTAATTTTTTTGTTAAAACATATCCACTAACAAATATAAAACAAAATTTTAAAATAAAATAAAATAAATTTACAAAACTTTAAAGTTGAAATCCAATATGACAATATATGATTTATATGAAAAGAGATAGTGTTATTTTTAATCTTTAGTAAGAAGTTAGTGGTCCCTTTGGTGCTTCCTTAATTTGTCTTCAAGCTTGCAATGAGAAAAGTAGTGTTGCAGTGGCTTGTATTGAGCTGCCGATAGAGTCTCCTTTTTCTATTTTTTTTTAAGTTGATTAGTTGAAGAAGATTGATACCAGGACAGTAATGCTGAATATTGAAGAAATGACATAAAAGACACAAAAATTATTATTATTTTTTTTTTTACAAAATTCCGCTGTGGGTCTTAAGATTAGTGGGTTTTAAATAATAATAAATAATTAAATTGTTAAAATGAATAATTAATTATATAAATTATATTTGGGTTTGTCTTTTTTATTTTATGTATATTAACAATTAAAAATATAATATTTAAAATTTTAATAATCATTAATTAATTAATTAATTAATTAATTAATTATATATTTCAAATCCCAGGGGAGGCCACCGCCCCCCTGCTCTCCATGTGGCTCCGCCACTGCGTCGCTCCAAAAATCAGCATCTTGCGCATCCCAAATGCCATTTTCCTCTCAGTACCGCGCACGTTCGACCTTCGACATCTACCTTCCTGAAACAAAATGACAGTGGTGATGAATTGGTGCAATTTATTGCAAAATGCAGAAATACATGAATCAAGACCACAAACATAAATATCATCAGTTTTCTGGTTGGAATTTTTC